TCACGCAAATCTGGTACGTATATGAACTGGTCAAATCCGAATAAGGTCTGTTGATTTTACCAATGTCAACGTCTTTATTTGATACGTACTATAATTATTTATGTAAGAGTGACCATTGGGGGGGGGCGAAAAAAAAAAGAAAACTAATGCAGCCAGTTTAGAGAACAGTGCCTCAAAAAACTGCAAATAGAACTACCATATGATCCAGCCATCCCACTCTTGGGAATTTATCCAAAGGGGAAAGGAAATCATTACATTGAAGAGACATCTGTACTACCATGTTTATTGCAGCACTTTTCACAATAGCTAAGATATGGAAGAAACCTAGGTGTCCAACAACAAATGAATGGATAAACAAAATATGGGGTGTGTGTGTGTGTGTGTGTGTGTGTGTATACCATGGAATATTAGTCATCCATAAAAAAGAATGAAATCCTGTCCTTCACAACAATGTGGATGGAACTGGAAGACTTTATGTTAAGTGAAATAATCCAGGAACAGAAAGTTTAACACTGTATGTTCTCACTCATATGTGGATACTAAAATACATTGATCTCATAAAAGTAAACAGTAAAACAGAGGATACTAGAGGATAAGAAGGGGAGATGGAAGGGAGGGATAGGGAGAGATTTGTTCAAAGAAAAAAAATTACAGCTAGATATGAGTGATATGTTCTAGTGTTCTGTACCACTGTAAGATGACCATATTTAACAATAATATGTACTTTCAAATAGTTAAAAGGAAGCTATTGAATGTTCCCAACACAAAGAAATGATAAATATTAGAGATGATGGATATGCTGAGTACCATGATCTGATCTATATATTACGTGTATCAAAACATCAGTATGTATCCCATGAATATGTATAATACAATTATTATTTATCAATTAAAAAATAAAACTGAAACTCTCAATTGACCTCTAAAATATAAATAAAATGTAGAACTGGGTATAAATTCAATCTAATAGTCATATATTAGCAGTTTTATGGGACATTATTTCAATTTATGCAAACAGGAATTATCAATATTTCTGACAGAGGCAGAAAAGAGTAGTGGTTTGGAACTTGGAATCTGGAGTCAGATACTAAAGTTTTTTTGTTGTTTTTTTTTTTGCTTTTTTTCCCAAAATTTTTGTAGAGATAAGAGTCTCTCACTATGTTGCCCAGGCTAGTCTCAAAATCCTGGCCTCAAGTAATCCTCCCACCTCCACCTCCCATAGTGCTGGGATTACAGGCAGGCAACACCATGCTCAGCCAATATAGCATTATTTTTACCTCTGCCATTTACTGTATACGCACTGAGTGACTTACTAATCCATTTGGGCTTCAATTTCCTCATCAAAAATAGGAAAGAAAATAACAGTACCAGTACCTGTATCCCAGACTATTGTTATAATTAACAAGGAATGAATACATATAAAATGCTTAAAATAGTGCTGGAGTCATAGAACATGCTGTTTGAGGGTTAGCTTTTGTTATTGATTTTGAGTTGACACATTGGCATGATTATATCACTCTAAAGTATACATTTTTCCTTAGGGACTAAGCGGCCTTTATCAGTGGATAGCCATTTTTTCGTTCATTAAACATTAAACTTAAATGGCTACATACTGTATGATACCACTTATATAATATTCTCCAAATGATAACATAAATTGCTTGTCAGACATTACAGACTTGGCATAGGAGGCTATGACGGGGGTAATACAGGCCAGGTGTGGTGGCTCACGCCTATAATCCTTACATTCTGGAAGGCTGAGGTAGGAGGGAGGATTGCTTGAGGTCAGGAGTTTGAGACCAGCCTGAGCAAGAGTGAGACCCCCATCTCTACTAAAAATAGAAAAAAATAGCCAGGTGTGGTGACACGCACCTGTAGTCCCAGCTACTCGGGTGGATAAGGCAGGAGGATTGCTTAAGCCCAGGAGTTTGAGGTTGCTGTGAGCTAGGCTGACGCCACAGCACTCTACTCAGGGCAACAGAGTGAGACTCTGTCTCAAAATAAATAAATAAATAAAGGAATAACTCAAGGGAGGGAGCTTCTTTGTCATGGTGGAACAGTTCTATGTCTTGATTGTCATGGTGCTTATACACATCAATACATGTGATAAAATTGCATACAACTATATATATACAGACATGCATGTGCTTTTGCACACACATACACACACACACAAAATCTGGTACGTATATAAACTGGTCAAATCCGAATAAGGTCTGTTGATTTTACCAATGTCAACATCCTTATTTGATATTGTACTATAATTATTTATGTAAGATGTGACCATTGGGGAAATCTGAGTGCAGGATACACAGGAACTCTCTGTACTCTTTGTCATTGTTGTTGATTTTTTAAGTAGCTTTATTTAGATAGAGTTTACATAACAAACAATTCACCCATTTAGAGTATACAATTCAGTGGGTCTTAGCACATTCAGGCTTGTGCAATCATCATGACAAACCATTTTAGAACTTTTTCATCACCTTAAAAAGAAATCTCATATTTTGGCTAATCCTTCCCAACCCTCAAGACCCCCTCAGCCCCTGGTAACCAACACTGTACTTCTGTCTCTAGAGATTTCCCTGTTTTGGACACTTCATATGAATGGAATCGTATAACCCATGGTCTCTGTATTATTTTTGTAACTCTCTGAAGGTCTATAATTTTAAAATAAAGTGTTTTAAAAAATGAATTGAGGCCAGGCGCGGTGGCTCACACCTGTAATTCTAGCACTCTGGGAGGCCGAGGTGGGCGGATTGCTTGAGGTCAGGAGTTCAAAACCAGCCTGTGTAAGAGTGAGACCCCCTTCTCTGCTATAAATAGAAAGAAATTAATTGGCCAACTAATATATATAGAAAAAATGAGCCGGGCATAGTGGCACATGCCTGTAGTCCCAGCTACTCAGGAGGCTGAGGCAGGAGGATTGCTTGAGCCCAGGGGTTTGAGGTTGCTGTGAGCTGGGCTGACGCCACGGCAATCACTCTAGCCTGGGCAATACAACAAGACTCTGTCTCAAAAAAAAAAAAAAAAAAAAATGAATGGAGGTGCTGCTATGGGACAAGCATCGTGCTGGGAGCGGTGACTAAAGGGGACACATGACTAAAGGAAGCCACAATCACTGCCCCAAAGAGCCTAGAGTTCAGAGGGAAAGACAGGGGAGGAGTCAGACAACAAGGGTGCAGTGTGTCAGTGCTCTGACGGAGGAAGACTAGACCTCGGATTGGGGGTGAGGCTGGGGAAGTTCCCCAGAGGAATTGGTTAGCAAAGTTTTGAAGCCCAGAACACGTGGAAAGAATTTGGGACCATGCGTGGACGGGCCACAACCTCATGTGGCATCTATGAAACTAAACTCTTTCTTGAGACTTTTGCCCCTGTTGGCTGGAGTCTTCTGGCTGCAGCACTCCACGGCCAGGATGCCAGACAGTCCTCATCTGCTATCTCTTCTCCCCAGTGTCCAACAAACACCCATTTGTGGACAGCAATCTTCTCTACCAGTTCAGAATGAACTTCCGTCGGAGGCGAAGACTGATGGAGCTGCTCAACGAGAAGTCCCCTTCCTCCCAGGAAGCTCACGACAGTCCCTTCTGCCTGAGGAAGCAGAGCCATGACCACCGCAAATCCACCAGCTTTATGTCAGGTATGCCGTCCAGTGTTTCCTGTCTTTCCAGAAATAGTCGAATAATAACTCCTCTTTGGGAAATGCTGTTCTACAGCACATCTGTATTTATTCATAACCAAGAAATAGGCAAGAAAAAAAAAAAAAGCAACACAAAGTTTTTCCTGGGCAGCCAATGTAGATGCAATGATTCTATTTTATAAAATTATGTGCTTGAATTATAGGGCACCTCTGAAGCTCTCACTCATACCCTATTTGCTTTTCATTGACAAACAATCCTTACATATTACTTATTCAGTTCTCTAAGTCGCAACTTGGAAAAGCTATGTATTTAAGTATGACTAACATATCTGTGAGTGTGGCCACTGATAACAATGAAAAGGCAACTGATTTTCCACCCATTGTCAAGGGGGGAACAGAGAACAGAGAAGAGCTAGGAAAAGCAGACGCAGAGGCCCAGAAAGCACAACCGCCTGGGTGTTGTATGTAAAGTCAAACAGTCTCATCTTTGCAATTAGCCCTGCTGGAAATGATGGTATTCGCTATTCACAGAGATAAACCCAGAAAAGGTGAACTTGAAGTTAGTGTCATTCTGTTTAAAAAGGTGAGGTGATTAAAGAATTATCTTCAACTCCTCTGAAAACTTGGCATTGACTCAAGGAACTGATTGGCTTAAGGTTCGACAGTGCTGGGCTTATCCCAACACACAGTGAAAGTGTTAGGTGTCAGTTATGAATGGGAGCAGACACTGAGAACACTTACAACTATCTGTAGGGTCACTTCTGTGCCCTAGGCACTGAGCCAGGCTTGATTGCATTAATTTTCTCATTTAATTCTCACTGTGACTCCAAGAGGAAAGACTTTTCTTACCCCATAATATAGATGAAGGAAGTAAGGCAGAGTGCAGTGCAGTGGCCTGCCCGTGGTTAGAAAGTGGCAGGCAGAGCTGGGTCTCACACCAGTTTTGTCTGACTCCAGTGCTTCTGTTATACTGCTCCTTTCCTCCTTTCCTAGCCCCATGTACCTCAGGTTCCTCAGACGCAGCCAGCTGGAGGGGAGAAGGAAACAGGGCTACTGTGGAAAAATAAAGACTGGCTAAGGTTTAGGAGCCTGAGCCTGTACTCCCAGGCCAACTTGGCCAGACTAAGAGGACATGCAAATGCAGAGTAACTGTTCACTTTCTCACTGGTGCAAAGGTTTGCCTATTGATTTGCCTTCGATGAGCTCAATAGAGCTGAAGCAGTGATGATGATGAGGAGGAAGATATAGTAAGCATGGTTACCATAAATGCCAGCATTATTTTATGCTTCCACGTGCCAGAGTGCTCTCCAAGTTTTCTGTCATTCACTCATACACCTTCCCCCTGTTGCGAGCCAGCCTACCCCATGACAGAGAGAACCAAATCAGGAAACTGAAGACACTGCCTCATATACACTTTCCAAGGCTGAATATGTGCTGTGTATTTTAAGCTCCTTCTTCCATGGCTCTGGGTGATGAATGGTCTAATATTAAATCAGAAGACATTTATTATCAGTGTTAATTCATCCCCTGTAGAGCCGGCATTTAATTTACATCCTAGCAGGAACCACTCAGCATGGGTTTGGTAGTTCTTGAAATAATATCATCCTTTCATGCAGGTGATCTAATCCTCCCATGAGATGGCATGATTCTCACTTTACAGTCAGGGAAGTTGAGGCTCAGAGAACTGCAGGGAATGGCCCCGGTTGTGCTGTGAGTGGCAGAGCTGCAATTCACATTCTTGCTTTTCTGACTCTGAGGCCGGAGTGCTCCTTCCTGGCCTCACTGTACCTTGCAGCTGAAAGCCATGTGGCATCTGCCTTCTCGGTGACCGTGTGTGTTTTCTGGCCCGCACAGTCAGCCCCAGCAAGGAGATCAAGATCGTGTCCGCGGTGAGGAGGAGCAGCATGAGCAGCTGCGGCAGCAGCGGCTACTTCAGCAGCAGCCCCACGCTCGGCAGCAGCCCCCCTGTGCTCTGCAACCCCAAGTCCGGTGAGTGTCCGAAAGATGACCCTGCCCTTGACTATAGCTCTGGGGAGCAGACCCTGGGCCAGAGGGAAATCAGTGTGCCTGAATCTTACTAGGACATGTTCTTGGGGTCAACACATGTTGAATGAATGGATATCGGGTAAGATTGGGCAGAGAGAGAAATCAGGCTGTACCACAGTCCCAGTGAAGGCTACAGATGACCCAAGTGAGATCTGGTAGCTCTGGAGAGCTCTGGAGCTGGCATGGCCCTTCAGAGTTGCCTGGAACTCAGTGGAGGGGGCTGGGCCTTTATACCATTTTGTTGACCCGTTATGAGATGTTGGCTGTCCCTGGGAGGAGGGCATGACCTTGGGCAGGGCAGTTCTCTTCAGAGAGATGGTCCCCAAAGACAGCTGATTGTTGTCTGCCATTAGCACTCCCAGAGCTGGGAGGAGTCTCTCAGCCCTCAAGGGGGTTTTGGCAGAGCATGACTATGTTCATTACAGCAAGGGAAACGGTGCCTCCCCAGGCTGCAGCAGATGCAGAAATTCCCCATCTGCTGGGATCCAGCAGCCCCAAGGAAGAAGCATGGATCTATGCAAACCCAGCTATCACCAGAATTGACTGTTGGTACCCTGTGCCATGAAAATCTACTCATCAACTTCCATGGCCTTTTTATTCTAGGGAAAAAAAAAATCTAGGCACAAAGATTGTTGATGAATCTGTACTTAGAAACAATCTTTTCTCTGGCCCAGTCAGTTAGTTCTTCAACCCCCCAGGAACCTGTAATCCATTGATACTACCGTCTTCTCACCATCCCTTACCCACCTGCATCCTCATGCTCTCCTTCCCAGGATGAGGTTGTGTGGTTTAGTCATTATAGTCATCATTCAAAAACACTCTCAGCTCTATTTGTTTAGTGCACCATCCATCCCAAGCTCAGTTTATCACCTTCAGGGAAGAGACTTTATTCCCTTTGCTCATGATGTTCCCTCATCATTAGATGTTGGGGTTACAAAGATGAGAGGTCATGACTCCAGCTCAATGAATATACCATTTCTTTGGAGAAAAAAAACAAACATTATGTGTTAGTGAGAATAAGGACTGATAGATGTTGATCAAAGGGCTTTAAGAGGAAACTCTGTCATCTAATGCTTTTATCTAGGAAGGTGGCTATTTTTCCTAATCTAACTTTTTCTTTTTACTGCTTTCTGGAGGATTAGCAGCAGGAATAAAGTTGTAACCTGCAAGTGAACAAAGAAACTTGCTTCCACATTGGCTAAAAAAAAATCATTGAGAACCATGTACTACTGAGTTTTTCAATTAATGGAATGTGCTTATAAGGTAGCATGAAAAAGGAGAACTGAATTCTTAGAAATGGGATATTTAAAGCCCAAATTTAGAAATCTAACAAGCATCCTCACAGCTAAGAGCAAAAGATCTCAGATTCAAAAAAGGATCAGTTGTGCTAGAACTATTTTACTTGTTTTCATTGCATGTGATGGACTATGAACAAAGTGTTAATTATGTTGATTAGCATCACATCCATGTTCCCTGAGGTGGGTTAGTATTGTTTCCTCTTCCTCCTTGTGCTTTGGGTCAAAGGGAAGGGTTTACTGTTATGAAGGCATAAGAGAAAGGTTTTGTAGCCTCTCATAGGTCTCTAAGGACAAGAGCTGTCAGGAATGAGTTGTGGTTCATAAATTTCACTTCTTACCCATATTTTGATAAGCTTTTCCCTCACCCTTGAGAGGGCTCCCAAGACCCAGTCAGCTCATTTGTGATTTTTTTTTTCTCAAGCAGAATATCAGGCCTTCACAATAAAGCATTTAAAAATTAATTATCCCATATACACCAAGAACGTCCTATATATACTTTTTAGTTCTATATATAAATGCCCGAAGCCAGACCCAAAAAAAAAAAAAAATGCTACAGATATTAACATAGTCAGAATCATTGTGATGAGTAAACAGGCCTCCAAGGATATGAAAAGAGAAAGCTTAAGGATAATTCCCTGGACCTCAAAGTGTCTATGTTTTTCCACATAATAATGAGAAAAAGTAGATTAAAATAAATGGTCAGCACTGTTGCCACATAGTTTATTGTGACTGCTATATCTAAATTCATTAGCCCCCTGAGGGTTTATGGCGGATAGACAAGGAGTTGTCTGACAGGAAATAAGAAAGATCTCAGTCTTCAAACATTGACCACTTTCTTACCTCCTATCCATCTAGTCCCATCTTGATATTTGACCTCCTCCCTCTTGTTTGGTGAACATAAATTCATTTTCACTTTTATGAGCTTTAGGAAAGCAAAAATAATATCAGCTACCAGCCACCTCAGCAAGAAGCACTGCATTGCCTTTAACTGAGAAGGCGACTTGTTAGGCCAGAAGTCCGTGCGTGTGACCAGCAGGCAAGGCCCAGCTGCCTGGTGGATCATCCGGGCCTTGCCCCACACTGCCTTTCCTTTCTCTGCTGCACACTGTTCTGATGCCTGACTGCTGCTAGCAAAGGGAATTGGAGGCTGCCACTTTGCCAGATTGGGCCCCTGTCCCAGCCCGTTCCACTTATTTGTGGCACTTCAAGTATATGATGTACACATGGCTAGGTTAGAATGGTCCCTGTCTTCCAACCCACTGGATGCTCTGGGTAGCTGTGGGAGTCCCTTCTCCAGTTCTTAGTGAACACAGAGTGGATGAGGAAGTTCATTATTGGTGGGTTTTTAGGCAGCCGGCAAGTCAGGAACTGGCTACTGTCTTTGCCATCTTGGTATGCCATGGCAGTGAGCTGCTGAGAACAGGTTTCTCAGGAAGACACCACACCACCGTCTTCCGGCGCTTCTGAGCCCTTTTGTTTGCTTACAGAGACAGCATGCCAGGAGGGACAGCATAGCACAGCACAGCCCAAATCGTGGGCAGTGCTCTCCAATGCTTGAGTTCGATCCCACTTCTGCCACCTGTTAGCTCTGCAATTTGGAATACAAGCAATTTAACTTTTCTAAGCTTTTGTTTTCTCACTTATAAAATGGGGATAACAGTGAACCTAACTCATTCATTCTTGTGATGTTTAAATGAGATAATATGTTTACAGCACCTGGCTTAGTGCCTAGCATGTGTTGAGTACTCAGAAAAGTTCACTAGTATTATTACCCAGTGCAATGTACATGAAGTAGTGGATATTAATAAGGAAATGAGTGAAACTTTAGTACATGGGGGGTGTGCAGTATGTAGGGAGGGGGTAGGGTGGGGCTACCTCTTAAAACGTGGCTAATCGACCACTAGAGTCCTAACTTTGATGTGTATAAATGCATGTTGGTATTTAAAAGGAAGAAATGCGGGAATTAGAAAACACGGCCTTTTTCTTTGCAGAAAAATGTCAACTCCCCCTTTCACCTCCACCCCTGGCACTCTTGCTTCCCTTCCCTTTCTCGCTTTATTTTTTCTCATAGTTCTGTAAGGTACTTTGAAGATTATTCATATTTGCTGATATTTTCTGTCTCTATCATGCGAGAGTTTAAACTGTGAGGCAGGGACCTTTGCCACTTTCGTTCACGGATGCCCACATCAGAGACACGCAGTAAATACCTGGTGAATGAATGAAAGAAGGACTCAGAAGTGCTTATTCCTTGACATTGTGTCTGTCTCACAGTGCTGAAGAGACCTGTCACATCCGAGGAACTCCTGACTCCTGGGGCTCCATATGCAAGGAAGACATTCACGGTAGGCTGATGGTTTGGCTTTTTTGCTTACACACGTTAACACATCAATAGGTAGCTGTGGACTAAACTGGAAACTTTTTCCTAATTTTCCTTTTGTTTTTAGTACAATTATAAGAGTAGGCTTTCTTCACCCGAAGGCACTAAAATACATTAGGACTTGACATGGTTTATTATTAATGCAGCATTTTAAATTATTTTTGATGTGTCCTTTAAGAAAAAGATTTCCATTATGTACTAATTCTAATGTAACAACAGATTTTAAGGCAAATGGTAGTGCACATAATACCAACACTTTCTTCTGCATTACAGTTAATTCTAAAAATCATTTCAGATATTACAGGAGTCTTATGGTAGAGAAGGAAACTACAGGGTCAGATGTTCTACTGCAGACACAGTGCTTTGACAATGTCAGCATGCCTTGAGATACACAAGCAAATGACTTGGGAGCACTGTATACCTGTGAGCAGCCCTGACCACCTGCCCCTTCTTGCAGGCACTTCAGCTCCTTTCTGCCTCCATTGGTTTTCTTCAAACAGAATCAAAATGTTCTTATTGACATGATTCACTCACCTTCCCTTATCTTCTTTGTCAGTCACATCCATGTCAACACCCTCTTAAAAACACCTCTCCTGTTTCTTTTCCCCTCTAACTTTAGTGACATTAACTCAGGGGGAAAAAATCTATCCGCATTCATTCAACAAAGGTCGCAAACCTTTGTCAAGAGCTACTTCACATTTGCGCACTGAGAAGTACATAGGGGAAAGGCGCTGATAATATGTCTGTATCAGGGGAAAAAGGTAAAACTGTACATGTGAACGTGAAATTAGGTGTAACAGACTAATACAGCAAACCCCAAAGTCATGCAAGGGCCTAAGAGTCTTGAGACTTTCCACAAAAATTTCTATTTGCTTCTCTGTTTTCCCTCAGTCTCTAACAGTCAAGAGATTATTGTATTTTGAAAGTATTTTATCTTTGGCTTTCAATTTAAATGCCAACATTGTTAGTCATTGATCGTGAATGTGTTTCATCTGGATTTTGGTTGGGCTATGGGCTAAAGGCTTGTCTGGGAGCTGTCCAGGGAACGTGAGTGCCAGTTCTAATAACGGCGTCTATAGGGAAGGCATGCTTTAGCTCCAAACAACTTTTGGATTAGAGTCTACTTGTACATTGTGAACTTTATGTACTTTCTCACTTTTTTTGCTTGGTGGAGAAAATTGTGTTTCAAGAAAGCCAAGATTCTTCACATTTCTCACTGTTAGTGATTTAAATTGTTAACTCTAGACTTCAATGAGGTTGCAGGATCAAGAGTGTATCATTTGGATACGGGGGGAAAAAGCACAAACTTGGAGTGGAAATTGTAGCTGGAAAGACATTTCACCCATGCTTTTAAGACCTTCTAAACCTTCTACTGGAGTCTGATATCAAATCGTATAATAGCCGAAGAAAGGGGCAATCTGCCAGTTGTTTATTGAGCACACGTTTATCTTAGCTGAGTGGATTTGGGCCAACTTATTACATTTGATCTCCGATTTTTCCATATATTCCACATGAAAAAGGAATGGTGGCCGGGCGCGGTGGCTCAAGCCTGTAATCCTAGCACTCTGCGAGGCCGAGGCGGGCGGATTGCTCAAGGTCAGGAGTTAGAAACCAGCCTTAGCAAGAGCGAGACCCCGTCTCTACTATAAATAGAAAGAAATTAATTGGCCAACTAATATATAATAAAAATTAGCCAGGCATGGTGGCACATGCCTGTAGTCCCAGCTACTCGGGAGGCTGAGGCAGAAGGATTGCTTGAGCCCAGGTGATTGAGGTTGCTGTGAGCTAGGCTGACGCCACAGCACTGTACTCTAGCCTGGCAACAAAGTGAGACTCTGTCTCAAAAAAAAAAAAAAAAAAGGAATGGGATAATATTTGACAAATAGTGTCTGATATATAGTGTTTTAAGTGTTCATTGTCATAGACTTCTGAAGTTTGACTTTAGCCTTTGCTCATTAAAAATTCTACACAGAACCCATTTCCTCTGTCTTTTCTGCCTTTCGTTCAAAGAACATATTGCCCTTCTCTGAGCAGTCATGTTACCTTTTTACGCATGAAAAAACATGAAATTGTAACCAGATATCCAGATCAAGTTTAGTGAGTACCTCACTGGAAGATATTTAAATTTCAGAAGTC